AACAATACTGTGTGAATATATAACCACAAGGGTATCTGATCTAGTTATGGTCGTCTGAAGTTTCAGATTTACACAGAACAATACTGTGTGAATATATAACCACAAGGGTATCTGATCTAGTTATGGTCGTCTGAAGTTTCAGATTTACACAGAACAATACTGTGTGAATATATAACCACAAGGGTATCTGGTCTAGTTATGGTCGTCTGAAGTTCCAGATTTACACAGAACAATACTGTGTGAATATATAACCACAAGGGTATCTGGTCTAGTTATGGTCGTCTGAAGTTCCAGATTTACACAGAACAATACTGTGTGAATATATATGACTGTTAGTGTATCTGGACTAATTCTATTCGTCTGAGAGAATAGCGTCACTGAGGGTGACCTTGCTAAGGGAAGTCTGGTCAACGGGCAAATTTGAAAAGTGGGGCTTATAAAGAGAACAAACCAAAGGTAACCAGTTTTTAAAAGGGGGAAGACAACATAAGAAAAGTTAAAACGGAACTTAATGAAAGTCTGAAATAACAGATGTAATTTTTAATCTTTATAGTGTGATAAATACTTCTACTTACCTTAAGGTCAGGATAGAGAAAGTTATCTTATGGCGATTGTGTTAATTATTTGATCTATAGAGTTATAAATCACACTGTGGTGAACGATTGTTCGTTTTGTTTAAACTTTCGCGCAAAGCTACACGAGGGCTATCTGCGCTATCTGTCCTAAATTTAACAGTGAGAGACCAGAGAGAAGGCAGCTAGTCAACACCACCCACCGGCAGCTCTTAGGCTACTCTTTTACCGACGAATAGTGGGATTGACCGTCACGTTGTAACGGCTGAAGGGGCGAATACGCTCGGTGACGGAGATTCAAACATGCGACCCGCAGATTACGAGTCAAATGCTCTAACTACCATTATAATCATCCGATTTAATTAAGCCGACTCAATGTCCTCCTCGTGGAAAACGATTGACTCAGCATAACTCATGTTTGAGTTGAATAAAATTATAACTTTGAAACGCGGGATACTTAAGTTAGCTTATTTGTTTTGAACTTCG